CCCCAAAACCCCAAAACCCCAAAACCCCAAGGTTAGAAATTTGTAGTTTTGAGGAGAATGTAATTTATTTTGGATTTTAGAGGGCTTTTAAGTCAAAATAATAGGTTGAAGAATAGTCAATTTTTTTAATTCAGCAAACTAATTATTCTTTATATTTATTATTCTTCTAAGATTTATAATTCTATAATGATCACTACAAAGAAGAGGACTCACAATAATTTTTAGCTTTATGAGTATTTGAACTTTCGAGAGGATTCTTGTTTTAGATTCAAATCAACAAATTCTACAGATTTTTAAAGCATAACCCAAAGTGATTGCGAGATATTCGATACATTCAAGATAAATATAGACAAAAAGAATATTGATTTAATGATATAACAATATATTGGGCTCTATAAAGGAAAATTGATTATTTTCTAAAACAAAAAAAATAATAGTTTGAGCAAAATCAATTAAGAGAAACTATAGGCAAAATTATATCTTGACATCTAATTTTGTTATTATAAAAAGAATTCGACAATAATTGCCACCCAAGACTGCAATTATAATTTTTAGTTAGCTTACAATGATCAGTTCTACAATTTAATTTTGGAAGATAAAAGTAGTTTTAAAATATGGGTTTAAGCGTTTGACAATTATGTTATTAGATTGGATGAGCCTAAATCATATGAATTAGTCAAAATCTTGGGGTAAGGAAGTAATGCAGTTGTTAAATTAGCTCAGAAATACAAAAATGGAATAGAGAACAGGCCTCGCCAACTAAAATAAACTGCTATTAAATAAATAAAAAAATCTACCTTGCTCAATAATAAGGTGGCTATCAGATAACTAAAAGTTGAAATTGAGGCTCATTGAAAATTATAAGACTGTGGAAACATTTTAACTCTGTACAAAGTTTACGAATCTAATCACAATTTATACTTATTTATCGAGTATCAGAAAGGGGGAAATTTGATGGATATTCTAGTAGAGCATAAGGAAATAATTGAAAAAGATTTGTAGATTATCATGGGTCAACTTTTGCTTGCTGTTGATTACATGCACTAGATGGATGTGATACACAGAGATCTTAAACTAAGCAATATATTGCTGAACTCTAAAGAAAAGGATAACTATGATTTAAGAGTTGCTGATTTAGGCCTTGCTTATATGTATACCACTGATAGTAAACCATAGGAGAAGTGCGGTACTCCAACTTATATTGGGCCAGAAATTTTGGAAGGAGATAAATATGATCATAAAGTTGACATATTTAGTTTGGGCTCAATAATGTATAATTTAATTACTGGCCGTTACTTATTTGAATGTTCTGAAAGTGAAAATGTCTTGTTTCTAAATAAACTATGCCATCTTGGTCATATTGACAGACATATTTCTTCCCTCAGTCATGACGGGAGAGACCTGCTATTAAAGTTGCTAGAGAAGAATCCCTTGTATCGCCCTACAGCTAAGTAAGCTCTTCAACATAGATGGTTTTAAGCTGATAGAGAAGCTTTAGATGCTGCTTTGATAATTAATGAATAAATCTAGACATAAACTTATCAAAGAAAGTATGATATCTAATCCAACTAAATTGATCAGTAATTAGATGATTAAGGATCTCAAATGAATGTAAGGTAAAGTTTCCTGCCAAGATTATCTGAATTAAGTGCTTATGTCTCAAGATTTTCAAGCAACTAAAGGATCAAATCTAGAAAGGAAAGCTTACACTATAGCTATTATGATATTATTACATCCAACAGAAATGCTAAATCTAAATCGCCTCATTAGTTCCGCTAATTTACATCATTAGGCTAAAATGGTGTTTACACTCCGGCTATAAATATCAAAGCTATTAATTATGGTTTTGAAAACTATGCTTAGGAAAAATTACAATTTGATATATAAAAACCTTCAAATTTGCAGGTAGATTAAGCCTACTAAGAAGAAGTAAAGGAATAGCCTCTATTGATACATGTTTCTTTAGATTTACAGATTGATAACTTTTAAGACAACTGAGTTTAATAGCATCGATCCAGAGACAACCCTATTTTTTTGAATAATAATCTGAGATAAGAAAAAACAGATTAAAAATTGTCTAAAGTTGATAAATTAAATAATCATGGAAAAAGTGATATTGAGGTTTCAGATTTCAATGAATAAAACTTTGAATTTCTGTCTGAAAAA